CTTAAAAGACTAAAAACTGAGTTGCCAGATGATCTTGTAATCCCATCCATGGGTGTGTATCTGGAGAAAACCATAATTCGAAAAGATACACGCACCCCAGCATGACAGCACTGTTTACAACAGCCAAGACATGGAAGCAATGTAAATGTCCACTGACAGATGAATGGATAAAGAATATGTGGTCCCATTAAGTTGAAAGGAAACATGCACCCCATGTTAAGAGCAGCATCATTCACAGTAGCCAAGATATGGAAGCAATCTAAATAGCCATACACAAATAACGAAGATGTGGTGTTTATACACATACATGCACAAACTGGAATATTACTCAGCCATAAAAAGAATGAAAATTTGCCATTTGCAACAACATGGATGGATTTATGCTTAGTGAAATTAATCAGACAGGGAAAGACAAATACTGTATGATATCTCTTACATGTGGAATCTAAAAAAAAAATAAAACTAGTGAATTTAACAAAAAAGAAACAGACTCATAGATACAGAGAACAAGCTAGTAGTTATCAGTAAGGGCAGGGAAGTGGGAGGTTCCAAAAAAATAGCAATGGATTAAGAGCTACAAATTACTATGCATAAAATAAATAACCTACAAGGATATACTGTACAGTACAGGGAATATAAGCAATATTTAAAAATATCTATAAATGAAATATAACCTTTAAAAATTGTGAATCACTATGTTGTACACATGAAACAAATAATATTATACATCGATTGTACTTCAGTAAAATTTTTATAGCTTAATAAAAACCTGAAGTATCTGTGTTAATTTCAGAGAGAGTAGACTTCAGAACAAGGGAAAATATGAAGGTCAGAAGCATCACACAGTAATAAAGAACCCAATTCTCCAAAAAGACATATGAGACCTATTGTGTATGTGCTTAACAAGAAAGCATCAAAATATGTCAGGCAAAACTGATAAAACTGCAAGAAGAAATAGATGAGAATACCACTACAGTTAGAGACAACAACAGCCCTCTACCAAAAATGGACAGATCCAGCGGGCAGAAAATCAGGGTAAGGGTAAAGCTGAATTCACCAGCACCACCTCCAGTGGTCAGAATTGGTATCTACAGATGACATCATCCTACAGCAGATGCTTTCTTCTCAAGCTCAAGTGGAACTGACACTAAGGTAGACCATCTAGTTCAGTTCAGTTCAGTCGCTCAGTCGTGTCCGACTCTTTGCGATCCCATGAATCGCAGCACACCAGGCCTCCCTGTCCATCACCAACTCCCGGAGTTTACTCAAACTCATGTCCATTGAGTTGGTGATGCCATTCAGCCATCTCATTCTCTGTCATTCCCTTCTCCTCCTGCCCCCAATCCCTCCCAGTATCAGGGTCTTTTCCAATGAGTCCAGATAAAACATACCTAAATAAACTTAGAGTGGAAATTGTACAAAGTACACTATCAGACCACAACAGAATTAAACTAACTTAGTAACAACAAGATAGTTGGAAAATCCCCAAATACTTGGAGATTAAGCAACCCACTTCTATATAATACATGGATCAAGAAAAAATATCAACAGAAATGCTGAAATGTTTTTAACCAAATGAAAATAAAAATACAATTTATCAAAATTTATGGGATTCAGTGATGGGCAGTTGACAGCATTAAATGTTTGTATTAGAAGAGAAGAAAAATTTAAATTAATAATATAAGCTTCCACCTTAGAAAACTAGAAAAGAAGAGCAAATTAAAGGTAAAGTAAGCAGACAAAAAGAATTAAATTCAGAGCAAAAATCAATGAAAATGCAAACAGGAAATCATCGGCCACAATTGGGACATGCTATGAAATAACAGGTTCATAATCCACAGTCAGAAAAGTCCAGGAAGACTGAGGACTGCTGCAGACCCAGGGAGGCGAGGAGATGCTCCACCTGATGCTGAGCTGCATCTTCCTTCCCCAGAGGAATCAGTGCGATGACTGGCAAAATTACAGGGGTTATCTGAAAGTCAGACGATCACAATGTAGCAATAGTAACCTCTGATGTAGATGGCTATACTGTGAATGTTTCTGAAAGTACTCTTATTTCTAGGAAAAACACACTCAAGTACTGGGGAGAGTTGGGGCATTCCAGTCGGCAACTTACTCTCATGTGGTTTAGGGTAGAATCAAGTTCTTTGTAATGCTCTCCAACTTATCTGGAAGTTTGTGATCATTCTAAAACAAAAGTTTACTGAGAAAATAAAAGAAAACTCCATGAAAACAGACTTTGATTCCTTTTCTGGTGAATCCCTAGAACAGTGTCTGAAGATGTGTGGCTTAGGGGTGTGATAGCTAACTGCTGCAGAACTCAGGACAGGGTCCAGAATGCATAAGCATGGACAAAGTAAAATAAGCACAGGCATTTTAAAACTTAAGGGATAACTGCCAAAATAAATAGCTAAGGGGAAAAAAAGGTTTACCTCAAGCAAGGAGCCTGGGTGAGAAGAAGCTGGACAAGAAAAAATTACTTTCCTTTATAGCCTTTCTGCACTATTTGACTGTTTAGCCAAGTGTTAGAAAGCACTGAACTTTGATTTTTGAAAATGTAAGGAATGGAAAGTTATGACCAACCTAGACAGCATATTAAAAAGCAGAGACATTACTTTGCCAACAAAGGTCCATCTAGTCAAGGCTATGGTTTTTCCAGTAGTCATGTGTGGATGTGAGAGTTGGACTGTGAAAAAAGCTGAGCGCCAAAAAATTAATGCTTTTCAACTGTGGTGTTGGAGAAGACTCTTGAGAGTCTCTTGGACTGCAAGGAGATCCAACCAGTCCATCCTAAAGGAGATCAGTCCTGGGTGTTCACTGAAAGGACTGATGCTGAAGCTGAAACTCCAATACTTTGGCCACCTCATGGGAAGAGTTGACTCATTGGAAAAGACCCTGATGCTGGGAGGGATTGAGGGCAGGAGGAGAAGGGGACGACAGAAGATAAGAGATGGCTGGATGGCATCACCGACCTGATGTACATGAGTCTGGGTAAACTCTGGGAGTTGGTGATGGACAGGGAGGCCTGGCGTGCTGCGATTCATGGGGTCGCAAAGAGTCAGACACGACTGAGCGACTGAACTGACTGAACTGAAGGAACTTCAAAGAGAAGTATCAAAATTTAATAAATATATAACTGAAATTGAAATAGCTTTTCACAAAAATTAAAAAGGAAAAAAAATCTTTGCCTGATTAGGTAACATCTAATAATTTTGTTTCTACATGATAGTCTGTCACATCTCATATGAGCTTTCTTTTGTTTACCATCAAACTTTTACTTTTCAAAGATATGCAGGGTTAATTCCAACACTGACTGTAATAAAGAAAACTAGGAGGGACTTCCCTGGTGGGCCAGTGTCCTTGTCCCTGCAGTGTGGAGGACATGGGGATGATTCCTGGTCAGGGAAGTATGATCCCACATGCCGCGAAGCAACTAAGCCCACATACCCCAATTACTGAGCGCACGTGCTCCAGAGCCCGTGTGCCGCAACTAGAGTCCCAAGCACCACAAAGCAACACCTCACATGCCCCAACAAAGATCCGACACAGCCAAATAAATAAACAACTATTTTTTAAAAAGAAAGAGTTAGTTGCTCAGTCGTATCCAACTCTTTGCGACTTCATGGACTGTAGCCCACCAGGCTCCTCCGTCCATGGGATTTCCCAGGCAGGAATACCCATTCCCTTCTCCAGGGGATCTTCCTGACCCAGAGATTCAACCCAGGTCTCCTGCACTGCAGGCACATGCTTTACCATCTGAGCCACCAGGGAAGCCCTTACACAATGGAAAGCTGTGCATTGGTTAAACACAATGTAAATGCCTGGCAGTTTTCTTGCTTCCATGGAAGCGGAAGAAACAAAAACGGAAGTAACATTCCCATCAGTAATGGGCTCCATTCAGCAGGAATTCCTATGACACACGACGCTTCCTATAAGGCACACCAGAATGTGGGTGGGGCCACATGCGCCCGAGTCTGCCACACAAACTCTGCACACAGAGAGCTCATCTCACCAACCCAGCAGCAGGGAATGATGTTCCCTGTGCCACAGAGGAGGGGGCAGACGGACAGTCTCATGGCAGAGTCCACAGCCTCAAACCACATCACACTGGATGAAGCTAACCTAGAGAGAGGTGAAAAACACCACATACACATTTGTACAGTAGAATCTTATTTCTTAAGAAATAAGACACACCCTCACACCTGAAAAACTGGGGGAAAAAAGACTGTAAAATTTTAATAAGTAGGTACATCAAAGGTGATGCTTCCCAGGAGGCGCTAGTGGTGAAGAGCCTGCCTGCAGGAGATGTGGGTTTGATTCCTGTGTCCAGAAGATCCCCTGGAGTAGGAAATGGCAACCCACTCCAGTACTCTTGCCTGGAGAATCCCATGGACAGAGGAGCCTGGCGGGCTACAATCCACAGGGTCGCAAAAGAGTTGGACACGACTGAGCACGCACTTAAAAGTTTTAGTTTACTAGAGGTTTACTATGGCTCTATCTGAAGCACTGATAGGTACACATACACCCAATGTGGGGGTGAGCACAGAGCAGGCATCACAGAGGGTGAGCTGAGAAAGTGTCACCCTCATCCAGTAATTCCAACTCATTCAAGAACTTGGAGATACAGAGTTAAAGATGGGATATATCTGATTTCATAAATGCCTCTTTCTTATTTTTATTCATCCTATTGCTTAAAACAAAAACCAATCAAATCCTTAGGTATATTCTGATGACAAATAATAACCACTGGTCTATGGCTGGGCTGGAATAAATCAGTCCTACACACAAACAAGTGCCTGTTAGGTTCTTTATGTTTCAGCAAAATCCTACAGACTACAAGGCACATTATCTTTGTCAGCATCTACAGCATAAATTGGTTCCATTAAATTAAGGGAAAAAGAGAGACAGAATTACCACAGCCCTTATAAATAATTCTTACAGTCCTAAGATATTTAAGAGTATTCTTTTATATTGAAAAGGAACAAGAGAGGAAAACTCACCCAGGATCCTACTGGTTGGCCTGAGGTCACCCGCACCCTGGGGCCACGGATGCTGGAGAGACTCCGCTAGAAAAGGTAAACCACATGACTCTGATAGGAAGAATGCATTTCAAGAGTAAAGCGTGAAATAAAACCCAAAATACAAACGTGAGTTTGTTGTAAATCACCTCTGTTGTATGAGTCACAGGATGCCTAACGCAGAGCGGGGGAGCAATGTGAGGGGACTAAGAAGCATGGGTGTAGAGGAGACATTTACAGTTGTTTCCACTGGCCATGACAGACTCTTCTCATGTTTTCATGCTAATAAATGGCTCTTTTTCAAAATTATAAAAAACACCCTTGTTTTGATAATGCCATTAAACTACTAACATACAGACTTCTGAAAATATGTGTACTTCCGCTCAGTCACTAAGTCAAGTCAGACTCTTTGTGACCCCATGGACTGTAGCCCACCAGGCTCCTCTGTCAATGAGATTTTCCAGGAAAGAATACTGGAGGGGTTTGCCCATTTCCTTCTCCTGGGGATATTCCTGACCCAGGGATTAAACCCATATCTCCTGTGTCTCTTGAACGACAGGTGGATTCTTTACCCACCTAGCCACAGAGTGAAAATATAACTCCAAGTTAATAAGAAATTAATAATAATCTTTTTTCCTGCTCTCATAAAAACAAACCACAACAGCTCTCTTAGAACCTCAAAACTCAAACCTAACAAACTCACTAGGATTAAAATTAAAATATTTCAAAAAAAAATTAAAATATTAAATTCAGAGTCAAAGTCTCTGTCTCCATATGGGGAAAAGTCGATACAACAATTTATATTAATACACTAACATTTCTATAAATAAGACAGCTTAAGGGAAACATACATTGGTGAAATCCACTTACTTTCCATCCTTTGAGAACCTTTTCCTTGCAAAAACATTGGCCAAAGAGTAAGTGCTGGATTGAGCTTATTGGAAAAGGATGCTGACTTTATATTCAATCTTGGCTTCTCCAAAGAATCAAAGTTCTTATTCTCCATGGGTGACACATAACAAGCGAAGTTCTTTGCAACCAGATCATCATTAACACAAACCTGTATAAATATTTCATGAATAAGACAGACAGACAGTCACGTGACTGTTCATAAAACATGCCGAACTTAATTGAAAATTTTAATCTTCAGAAAAATTATTTTATAAAACAGAATTCGACAGAAATTGATCTTGTGACTTCTGCTTTCATAACAGTGAACTACACACTTCTGGCCAACATTCTTGAGAAGAAAAACAGGAGAAAATATTTTTAGATAATACCTTTGGATGGTCAGGTATCCAGAATACATAAAGAACTCTCAAAAAACTCAATTAAAAGAAAACAAAACCAATTTTTATATGGGCAAAACACAGCAATTAAGAGTACAGCATTGGCATAAAAACAGACACATAGTTCAATGGAACAGAAAGATAGCCCAAAAATAAACACAGATATATATGGTCAATAAAATTACTAAAAAGGAGCTGAGATTATATAACGGGGAAATGACAGCCTCTTCAATAAATTGTGTTGGGAAAACTAGACAGCTACACGCATAACAATGAAACTGTGCTATCAACTCACACCATATACAAACAAACTCAAAATGGATTAAAGACTTGAATATAAGATCTGAAACCATAAAATGCACAGAAGAAAACATAGGTGGTAATAGGCTCCTTGACACTGGTCTTGATGATAATTTTTGGAGCTTGACACCAAAAGCAAAGGCAACAAAAGTGAAAATAAACCAGCTGAACTCATACATCAAACTAAAAAGCTTCTTCAGAGCAAAAAAAGCACCAATAAAACAGAAAGATTTTTAGTAAGAAGAAACATCTGTAAGTCACTTATTATCTGATAAGGGGTTAATATCCAAAATACATAAAAACTCATAAATAACAGTAACAAACAAACCCCCAAATAATCCAATTTAAAAATGGGCAGAGGCCATTATACAGAGTGAAGTAAGCCAGAAAGATAAAGACCATTACAGTATACTAACACATATATATGGAATTTAGAAAGATGGTAATGATAACCCTATATGCAAAACAGAAAAAGAGACACAGATGTATAGAACGGACTTTTGGACTCTGTGGGAGAAGGCGAGGGTGAGATGTTTCAAGAGAACAGCATCAAAACATGTATATTATCTAGGGTGAAACAGATCACCAGCCCAGGTTGGATGCATGAGACAAGTGCTCAGGCCTGGTGCACTGGGAAGACCCAGAGGGATCGGGTGGAGAGGGAGGTGGGAGGGGGGGACCGGGATGGGGGATACATGTAAATCCATGGCTAATTCATGTCAATGTATGACAAAAACCACTACAATATTGTAAAGTAATTAGCCTCCAACTAATAAAAATAAATGAAAAAAAAAATGGGCAGAGGATCTGAATCAACATTTTTCCAAAGAAGACATGCAGATGGTCAACAGGGACAAGAAAAGATGTTCAATGTCACGAACCACCAGGGAAATGCAGATCAAAACCATAGTGAGGTATCACTTCACATCTGTCAGAATGGCGACTGTTAAAAAGACAAGAAACACCCAGGGCAGGTGTTTTAAGGATGTGGAGAAAAAGGCACTATTGGTAGGAATGTAAATTGGCATAGTCACTCTGGAAAACAGTACCGTGGTTCCTCTAGAAATTAAAAACAGAATTACTATACAATCCAGCAATTCCACTTCTGGGTATTTATCTGAGGAAAACAAAAACATTAACTTGAAAAGACACATGCATCTCCATGTTCACTGCAATATTATTTACAATAGCCAAAATTATGGAAACAATCTAAGTATTCATCAGTGGATGAATGGATAAAAAAAATGTGGTGTATATACATATATACACAATGGGATATTATTTGGCCACAAAAAAGAATGAAATCTTTCCATCTGTGACATTAAGGACATTATGCTAAATGACGTAAGTCAGAGAAAGACAAAAGCTACATAATCTCCACTTCTATGTGGAATCTAAATACAAAACAAAACAAGCTCACAGAGAACAGACCGGTGACTGCCAGAGCTGGGGTCAGGAGCATAGAGGGAGGAGGTGGTGAAACGGGAGAAAAGAGTCAGAAGGTAAAAACTTTCGATTATAAAATAAGTCAGTCACGGCATAGGATGTACAGCATGGTGGTTATAGTTAACAATATTGTATTGCATATTTGAAAGTTGCGAAGAGTAAATCTTGTCATGAGAACAAGAAAAAACATTCTGTCACTGTGTGGTGATGGATGTTAACCAGACACTGTGCAACGCATATGTATAAGTATTAAGTCATTGTGGTGCACATTTGTGACTAACAGAAAGTTGTACATCAATTATACCTCAATTTTAAAAAAGGATAAAAAATTTTTAAACAGAGAAAATGAAAAAAAAAGGATAAAAAATTTGAATACTTCATTAAAGATATATGGATTGCAAACAGCATATGAAAAGACACTGAAGACTGTTACGTCATTGAGTGAGTGAGTGAAGTCGCTCAGTAGTGTCCAACTCTTTGCGACCCCATGGACTATAGCATACCAGGCTCCTCTGTCCATGGGATTTTCCAGGCAAGGGTACTGGAGTGGGTTGCCATTTCCTTCTCCAAGAAGGAAAATGCATTAGGGAAGTGCAAATAAACTACAGTGAGAGACCATTACACACCAATGAGAATGACCATAAAAGTAATGGAGAGGATGTGGAGGAAGTGTAACTCTCATTGCTGATGAGACTGTGCAATGGTCACTCTGGAAAACAGTTTGGTAGTCTCTTAACACTTATAAAACTGCCCAAAAATGTGACTCCTGGGTATTTACCCAAGAAAAATGAAAGCACAGGTCCAAGGAAGACTTGCACATGAATCACCACAGAAGTTTCATTTGCACTTGCCCCACAGAGGCCACAACTCAAATGTCCATTAACAAGTGAATGGACAAACACTGTAGTATATCTAGACAATGGAAGGATACTGACAATAAAAGGATCAACATGCAAGTCTCCTAAAAATTTTGTGCGAAAGAAAACAAGTTTAAGAAAGAGAGAGAGAGAGAACACCCTGGACACATCCTTGTGCTTCCTTTAGGAGATAGGAAAGAACTGTTGGCCCAGTTTTTTTTTTTCTAGCAATTATGACCTCATGCACCCACCACTGTCAGTTCTCTCTGCTGAGCATGCCTCTGCTCTTTAACAGCCTGAGGTAAGAGCAAGTGTGAATGATACTGTTTTTCTTGTGTGCATTGTTTTATTAAAACAGCATTTTAATAATAATAAAATACTCTAAAAATACAACTCTTTCACTTACTTTTTCATTTTTTAGAGTTACATAAAGGTAAACCTCAAAAGTATCTTCTTCCACAGCACACAATTTGGCTTCTACCTGGGTAGCTGCTAAATAGCATAAATGAAAACATAAAGAAGATGATGTTAAAAGTATGCTTGAGGGACTTTCCTGGGGGTCCAGTGGTTCTGGCCGGGGGACTAAGATCCCGCATGCCATGCCTCATGGCCAAAAAAATAAGAATGGGTGAAACAACTATGACTATTTCTCGCCTGTTACTCTCTGGTAACTACTCACGACTACCCAGTGCCACACCGTCCGTCAGCTTCCTCCCTCAGAAGGGGTCTGGCGGCAGGCGAGCCAAGGTGAAGGCTCTCCAGGCAAAGTCCGCCAAGTGTCCTCTGTCCCCCCAGCCCCCATCCTCCTCCGGCCGCCCTGTGACAGCACCTCGCGCACAGCTCTGGGCCCCTCTTCTTTCCCAGAGAGCCCCAAGCCCACACGCCCAGAGTCGTCCGCCCTCCGAACACTTGTAGAGTAGCTCCACGTGTGGGTGCCAAGAGGCACGCTGCTCACCCTACCGGCGAGTCCCACTTCCCGCTCACCTCAAGCCTCCGAGGTAGCGCTGGCATCACTTTACAGGTGAGGGGACCAGGCTCTCAGAAGGCTGCTCAGAGGCAGCAGAACAGTACTCAACCCAAGCACTCTGCCTCCTCCAAATCTGAGCCTCCCAGGGCCCCTGTGGGCTCACAAGGGCCCGAACAACAAAACCAGAGGTGCCCCCACCTCCCATTTCTCCAGGAACAATGCCTCTGGCTGCTCCTTCACCCAGACAGCGGGGCAGTGAAGGAGAGAGGCCAGGGCCCCAACAGGCGTCAGGATGCAGCCCAGCCACTGCACACCCACTACTCCTCAGCATGACCCTAGAGGCTGCCCAGTTACTTGGCTCAGACTACCAGGGCTTAGGACAGATGCCACAAAGGATAGTCTAATTTACGGCCAACAATGTAAACAGAGAGCATGCTAAACAGGTGCTGAGACAGTCTATATATCTTCATGAGCAAGGATGGGGATCACACAGTAAGTACCCACTTACTACCCTCTGCCTGCTAAAAAATAGGCTTTTCATGATTGTTGGTTCAATGAAATGCACGTAAGTTATTTTGCAGTGCTGTAGTTTGATACAAAGAGAAAGGCATTATCATCGTGTAAGGGTGCCTCACCCACACAATTCCTTGCTGATTTCACTTGTCAATTACTGATGTCCACATCCATTCCTCAGATTCCAAGGGTGCAGAGTCACTGTGATACTTGGAATGGAAAAAGCTCCATGTGACTTATGAATCCCCTTGAGGGGGGAGGTCAAACACTAAGCACGCACATCTCAAACCCTTTCCCCAACAGAAGGTGAAACACCCTGGGGTGTCAGTTCAAAGCAGGCAGCTGTGGTCATGCCCTTGCCTCACCTTTCAGGATGTTCTGGAAGTACTGAATAGCTGCACTGTCCCACTTCTTGGCCCGTCTGGAACAGAGAACAAAGGCAATCTCATTAAATAAAAGCCAAGGCTAGTCATGCTAACATAACTTTGAAACTTCACACTGGATGTTTCGGACATTACACATGGGACATATGATGCAGGAAATGGGGAGTCTAGCTCTGGCCTGGGGTGATGACCCCAGCTGCACCCCACAGCAGGCCTCTCTCCCACCACCTCCTGCGCCAATGTAGAGACTCACTATGAATGGGCCCTTTGTGGGGCTTCCTGTGATACTGTGCCCACCTCCATGGCCTCATCCATCCCAACACCATTGTCCCATTTACCTGCAACATCCGTTTCCCCAGCCAGGGTGCTAACTCCCCGGGACAGGGACCCAGAGTGAGGAATGCTCAGCACAGGCTGGCAGAGTGAGGGCTCCCTGCACGTTGGTTAAACCAAAGTTCTAAGAGTGGCCATGGGGAGCCCAGGCCCTGCTGTCTCATGGTATTCCTCACTCTGACGACTCCCTTTCACTGTGTCCCACCTCTCCCCATCATCTTGTCCTTTCCTCTGTGTGATACTGTGATTTATAGTAAGAAATATAAACTTGGTCATTGTCACTGTTTCTGGCACAGAGCTCAGGGATGAGTGATAAAAGGTGTCTTTTGTTATGTTAATGAGGCGACCTGTAGAAAGCACCTAGGTAACTGAGATGAGGGCTGGTTGCCAGGGGAACCAAGCTGGTGATTAGAGGGTTGGAACTTTGACTCCCACTCCCTGGACCTTTGGGGAAGGGAGAGATACTGGAGGTTGAATCAACTGTCAAAGGCCAATGATTTAATCAATCATGACTAGGTAATGAAGCCTCCATAAACACTAAAAATGGACTAGGTTGGGAGCTTCTGGGCTGGTGAACACTTGGAAATGTGGGGGGAACAGGTGTGCCTGGAGGGAAGGCAGCTCCTTTCCCCAGACCTTGCCCCATGCATCTCTTCCATCTGGCTGCTCCCGAGTTATTTCACTTATACTAAACTGGTGAAAATTAGAGTGCACTGTCTTATTGGTGAATTTACCTTAAGAATGTTTGTTGAAGCTCTTTGCCAAGACGTGTACTCCCTTCTACTCTCAGTCTTTCTCCTGGGGGCATATAATTGGCAAACTAGCTGCCCCTAACCGTTCCTCTCTTGCTAGCCAGCTAGGCTGTTTCCAAACAAGTCTGCATTGTACATTTCTCGTAAGAGAACAGATACATCTAAACAAAACATATACATGTAGAGATATATACATGCATGCATGCACATGTGTACACATGTATCTCTCACACACACACCCCCATCTCGTGATCTGATCACACTGCAGGTGTTTGTACGGGATGGGTCCCTGCACTGGGCAGTGCTGTGTCAGGGTTATGACTGTGATCTTTGCTGTCTTGAATGATTACGTCCTGAGGTCCTGGGGGTAGCCCCCCACCCTGCCCTGGCACTCTGTCTTTCCCCCTCCTCCATCACTGTGGCTTTGTGGGGGATAAAGCTACAGGAAGCAACACAGTTCTGATTCAGCTTGCATGGCCTGGTGATGTTGCGTTCTAAGTTCTCTCTCAGCTTGGAGGCTGCCTCCATTATTGATGCTTTTGTGAGGTCTGTGGATACCCTCCCATCTCCATGGCCCCAGCCCTTGTCACCTGTAGTTCCCTTGGGCCGATGAAAACATCACTCTTGCAGCTGTCTTGGGATCCACACCAAAAGATACTAAGCCAGCTGGTAAATTTGCCAATAAGACACTGCACTCTAATTTTCATTAGAAGTTCCATGAATGTGACTATGCATAAAAGCACCAACAAAGGTCTGCCAGTTCAGAGCCTGAAAAGGTAACAGAGGCTTCCCGAGAAAGAGGGCAGGAGGGAGGAAACAGGGCTGGAGAAGGATGCCTGGACTTTTCGCTAATGCTCCATGGTCTGATGTATCCATGTTTCTCTTTGCAGTTGGCTTGTCCTTTTTTGTAAAAAGCAAAAAACCAAAAAACAGAGCTCGGGTCTTACTGTAAACCCCCTATACTGCAGCCCCTGGAGATGGCTGCACGGCCAGGGTTGACAGGCTGATTCAGAAGATTCCTCCGGAAGGACAAAGAGACCTTTGAAATCGTTTTAGCACTTCACATAAAGACTTGATTTCACATAGACTTCCTACACTCAATGTAAGACCTTTACTAATGATTCAGCATATATTAGAAGCTGTACTTACACAATTTCAGCACTGTCTTCACAGAAGTTAATGTGCAATGTGACAGGTTTTATGCAGTACAGTCTGAATTTTTTTGCTCTGTAGGGAAGCTGCATAAAAGTTTCTATGGCAACTCGGATGCTTAACAGTAAAACAGAAACAGTTTCATGATTAAAAAAAATTATACGTAACATATTTCTTTAAAGTCCACCTATATAATTAACATACTTAACAAAAAATACACAAAATCTGATTCTATTTCTAACACAGCCACCAACAACAGCAAATGCTTGGAGACATTTGCCGAACAAGGTGAAAACTGGTTCTTGGGGGCAGAGGGAAAAAACCTTACTTTTCTATGGATAAAGCACAAAAGTGCATGTAGTATATAAATACATACAGTATCTAAAAGATACTCAGTAATCTTTGGCATTAAAATTTCATGGCATGGCAGCAGGGAGGGATTAGAAAAATACTGTCTCCTTAGATTGAGAAACACTGGGTAATTACAAACAAACCTGGAAGCAAATTTTATTTAAGATTTTAAAATTTCAATTTCAATACATAACCAGAATTACCTTTAAGTTTCTGTAAATAAGCAGATGTTTTCAGAATCACTGTTTGTCAACTCTGCACAAAAGAGCTGATGGACTGCAGTTTGATAAGTAAGTTGTTGCACATTTTTATTTCCATTCTCCTTCATGAAAATGATAGAGCATTTGCACATACAGTTTCGACATGAACATGTTCTCAGGGCCACATGTGGGCAGCCTGGCCACCTCGTCTCAAACAGTTAAGAGAAAGTGACTGCACTAACTGCCCCTCCAGGCTTCCTTGCTCTAATCAAACAATTCTCTTGCCAAAAACAAACTAAATTTAAAAACCTAAATGCTAACAGGAAATCTCCCAAGCCATTAATTATCATGTTATTTTTAATAACCAATATAGCTATAAAGTGAGATGGCTAGATGAGATGATTGGATGGCATCACCAACTCGATGGACATGAGTTTGAGCAAGCTCTAGGAGTTGGTGCTGGATGCTCAGGGAAGCCCGGTGTGCTGCAGTCCATGGGGTCGCAAAGAGCTGGACTTGACTGAATGACTGAACTGAACTGAACTGATGGTTATAAAGGTACAGAACCATAAGCTGGACAGGCATCGCCTTTCCCGTGAACACCTGCCGGCCTCCCGTGTGGAGCAGCCTCCTAGTACAGACTCCCTGTCAGGGCATCACCTCTCCTGTAGCTGGGACTGTTCTTTCTCTTTCAGAAGAAGAGCCCTCACATTTATTTATTTATTATTTATTAAACTGACATCCGCTGACACTGGGGCAGGAACCATGAAAAAATTAGCAAAAATACCAAGACTGACTTGCTGAGAGTGTTTTCTAGGGAACTGCAACGTGTGGTCCTGGAGTCAGCAAGGCTCACTCTGTGACAGTCACACCCTCACTCTGCTAAGTGGGACAACCAGGGACACATGTTCTTACCTCTGTAATCTGAAGCCGTGCCAGCAAGCCATCCCATGTGTAGTAAAGAGGTCTTCCTAAAGGACCCACTCCATTCCTTGAGCAGGGGACAGGTCACACCAGGCCAGGCAAATGGCTGGCCAAGAGCACCTGCCCTTTCCAGGAAGGATGGTGGAAGGAGGGCCGGAGCTGCCTGCTGACCCCTCATCCCAACCACCTGCTCTTACATTCACTGCTCGTAAAACTGGAACCTGCAATCTGCTCTTCCTGAAGCTAAAAAATTCCAGTTTATGACCTCTCATCCCTTTCTTTGAAAATTAACACTCTCCTTCAAAACTGACACTTGTCCCCCCAGAGAGCATAAAGCAAAATAAATATGTACTTACTTTTTGGATTTCACTGGAACATATCTAGCAAAATCCACAAGGAAACACTCTGCGAGGTAATGGTCTGCTGAAGACACGATTGACTTAATAACTGCCCTGCACCAGCACTTTAGTTCCTGACAATAAACCACACAAACCTACAAAATAAAAAGAAAACTTCAGTGTTAAATTCTCTAGCCATACTCAGAAAACCATAAGATACTGATAAAAGAAATCAAAGATGACACAAACAGATGGAGAGATATACCACATTTCTGGATTGGAAGAATCAATATTGTGAACCATACTACCCAAAGCAAACTACAGATTCAATGCAATCCCTATCAAATTACCAATGGCATTTTTCATAGAATTAGAACATAAAATTTTACAATTTGCATGGAAACACAAAAGACCATGAACAGCCAAATCAATCTTAAGAAAGAAAAATAAAGCTGGAGGAATCAGGCTCCCTGACTTCAAATTACACTACAAAGCCAATCATGAAAACAGTATGGTACTGGCACCCCCGCCCCCCAAAAAGAAAGAAAAAAACAGGAATATAGATCAATGGAACAGGATGGAAAGTTCAGATACAAAACCATGTACCTATGGTCACCTAATCCATAACAAAGGAAATAAGACTATGCAATGGAGGAAAGAGTCTCTTCAATAAGTGGTGCTGGCCAAACTGGACAGCTACACGTAAAAGAATGAAATTAAAACAGCCCCTAACACCATACACAAAAACAAACTCAAAATGGATTAAAGACCTAAATGTAAGGCCAGATACTATAAAATACTTAGAGAAGAACACAGGCATAACAGGCTCTGACATAAAACACAGTAAGATCTTTTTTTAACACATCTCCTAGAGTAATAAAAATAAAAACAAACAAATAGACCTAATTAAACGTAAAAGCTTTTGCACAGGAAAGTGAAAGTTGCTCATTGTGTCCAACTCTTTGCAAACCCATTGACTATACAGACTGTGGAATTCTCCAGGCCAGAACAGTGGAGTGGGTAGCCCTTCTCTTCTCCAGGAGATCTTCTCAACCCAGGGATCAAACCCAGGTCTCCCATATTGCAGGTGGATTCTTTACCAGCTGAGCCACAAAGGAATCCCAAGAATACTGGAGTGGGAAGCCTATCCCTTCTCCAGCGTATCTTCCCGACCCAGGAAGTGAACCAGGGTCTCCTGCATTGCAGGCGGATTCTTTACCAACTGAGCTATGGGAAACCGTAAACAAAATGAGAAGATGACCCTCAGAATGGGAGAAAATATTTGCAAACAAAGCAACCGATGAGGGATTAACCTCCAAAATATACAAACAGCTCATGCAGCTCAATATCAAAACAACAATCCAATCAAAAAGTGAGCAGAAGATCTAAATAGACGTTTCTCCAAAGAATATATATAGATGATTAAAAGCACATGGAAAGACTCAACACCACTAATTATTAAAGAGATACAAATCAAAACTACAGTAAGATACCACCTCACACTGGTCAGAATGGCCATCTCTGAAAAATCTAAAGATAATAAATGCTGGAAAGGGTGTGGAGAAAAGGGAACTCTCCCACTGTTGGTGGAAATGTACATGGTAACAGCCACTGTGAGAACAGTATGGAGGTTCCCTAAAAACTAAAATGGAGCTACCATATGACCCAGCAATCCCACTCCCGGACGTATATCCAGAAAAAAACATAATTTGAAAAGATTCATGTACCCCAATGTTCACTGCAGCACCAGATTGGAAAGCTCTCCCTGCTAAGGTCCCCATGAAGGATCCAGAATAATCCTCCGGTTCCCAGCCCCAGGACAATGGCCCCCATGACGGGGTTTACGTGACACTCCATCTCCTGTTGCCCCACGTGAACCTAACACAGTTGCCACTTTTCATGACTAGCCCGACTTACACAGTCAAAAGAACCTAATACAAAAGAGCAATTAAAAACAACTGAAATGCCAACTTAGCTGCCAAAACAGTCTACATTTTGAGTAGTATTTCAAGACACAGTGTTGAAAGCACATTCAGATACATACCTGCCCTTCTTCCAACTTGAGTGGTTTTATTTCTGTATCGTGACACATGCTATTATAGAAGTCATTCATGGCACTATTCAGTTTTTGATAGTCAACTTCATGATCTAAAAAGGGACTACATCCTTTTATAATAACCCAGAAGCAACCTGGATCTTCAATCTGTAAAAATTTCAAAAGACAAATAAAACAACCCATCATTTAAAAGTGGAACTATAAAACCTCAGAATCACAGTAACTGTTTCAAAATTAAGTGCTTTAACAAATTCTTGATGAGTACCTGTCTTAAAGGGTTGGATAGAAGATAAAAGAACTTCAATATATATGTATATCAAATCATCACCTTCTATACCTTGAACTTATATAACATGATATGTCAACTATACTTCAATAAAACTGGGAAAAAAGATGAAAGATGTAAACACAAAAATGTCAAACATGTAACCAATAATATGTAAGTAACTCTATTGAATTTTTTGTAATTTTAAATTGTCTATTGTGATTCAAAAAGCAAAGACCAAAATCTTTGATCAGTATTTTGAGAATATAATAAAAATACAAAAGCAAGGTTCAAGACAATGTTTTCAGTACTCCATCTCTTTTGTAAGAAAGAGAAGAAAATACAGATGCATGTACATTCTGCTCACTTTCAAAGAAACAAATGATGGCAAATGAACAAAAAAAACATACAAATTTTACCTACAGAGGAAGCCAAGAATGGGGTAGAAGGGATACAAATGAAAGTCAGATTTCTCTGTTCAGAGAATAAGAATAGATATCATCTACCAGTGTCATTAAAAATCAAGATTTTCAGCATTAGATGAAAAATAAAAGAAAAAGAAATTGTGAGAAAAAGGAAAATAAGAGAAAATAAAATTGAAATAAAAGAAAAAGACAGTGAAGGACAGGGAAGCCTGGCATGCTGCAGTCCACGCGGTCACAAAGAATCAGACACAACTGAGTCAGTGAAGAACCCACAAGCTTTGATTCTCTTTGACATCCATCACAGGAAAGCGGAGTTTGGAGCAGGAGTCCTACCAAGTTAAGGAGGCTCAGTAAATACCTCAAGTTCCCTCATAGAACCCATGCAGTGTCAGGCCTGAGAAATAAAGCCCATGTTTCAGGACAAAGACAACATGCTCTGTCATCAAGTAGAAAAGCAGTCAGTCAGTTCAGATGCTCAGTCATGTCCGACTTTGTGATCCCATGGACTGCAGCACGTCGGCTTCCCTGTCCATCACCAACTCCCAGAGCTTGCTCAAACTCATGTCCATTGCGTCAGTGATATCATCCAACCATCTCATCCTCTGTTGTCCCCCGTTCCTCCTGCCTTCAATCTTTCCCAGCATCAGGGTCTTTTCCAATGAGTCAGTTCTTCGCATCAGGTGGCCAAAGTATTGGAGTTTCAGCTTCAGCATCAGTCCTTCCAATGAATATTCAGGACTACTTTCCTTTAGGATGGACTGGTTTGAGCTCCCTGCAGCCCAAGGGACTCTCAAGAGTCTTCTCCAATATCACAGTTCAAAAGCATCAATTCTTCAGCACCCGGCTTTCTTTACAGTCCAACTCTCACATCCATACACAACTACTAGAAAAACCATAGCTTTGTTGGCAAAGTAACATCTCTGCTTCTTAATATGCTTTCTAGGTTTGTCATAGCTTTTCTTCCAAGGAGCAAGTGTCTTTTAATTTCATGGCTGCAGTCACCATCTGCAGTGATTTTGGAGCCCAAGAAAATAAAGTCTGTCACTGTTTCCATTGTTTCCCCATCTATTTGCCATGAAGTGATGGGACTGGATGCCATGATCTTCGTTTTTTTTTTAATTAATTTATTTTTTTATTAATTGGAGGCTAATTACTTCACAATATTGTAGTGGTTTTTGTCATATATTGACTTGAATCAGCCATGGATTTACATGTATTCCCCATCCCGATCCCCCCTCCCACCTCCCTCTCGACCCGATCCCTTTGGCTCTTCCCAGTGCACCAGGTCTGAGCACTTGTCTCATGCATCCAACCTGGGCTGGTGATCTGTTTCACCCTAGATAATATACATGCTTTGATGCTGTTCTCTTGAAACATCCCACCCTCGCCTTCTCCCACAGAGTCCAAAAGTCCGTTTTATACATCTGTGTCTCTTTTTCTGTTTTGCATATAGGGTTATTGTTACCATCTTTCTAAATTCCATATATATGTGTTAGTATACTGTATTGGTCTTTATCTTTCTGGCTTACTTCACTCTGTATAATGGGCTCCAGTTTCATCCATCTCATTAGAACTGATTCAAATGAATTCTTTTTAATGGCTGAGTAATATTCCATGGTGTATATGTACCACAGCTTCCTTATCCATTTGTCTGCTGATGGGCATCTAGGTTGCTTCCATGTCCTGGCTATGATAAACAGTGCTGTAATGAACATTGGGGTGCATGTGTCTCTTTCAGATCTGGTTTCCTCGGTGTGTATGCCCAGAAGTGGGATTGCTGGGTCATATGGCAGTTCTATTTCCAGTTTTTTAAGGAATCTCCACACTGTTTTCCATAGTGGCTGTACTAGTTTTCATTCCCACCAACAGTGTAAGAGGGTTCCCTTTTCTCCACACCCTCTCCAGCATTTATTGCTTGTAGACTTTTGGATAGCAGCCATCCTGACTGGCGTGTAATGGTACCTCATTGTGGTTTTGATTTGCATTTCTCTGATAATGAGTGATGTTGAGCATCTTTTCATGTGTTTTTTAGCCATCTGTATGTCTTTTTTGGAGAAATGTCTGTTTAGTTCTTTGGCCCATTTTTTGATTGGGTCATTGATCTTCGTTTTTTGAATGTTGAGTTTTAAGCCAGCTTTTTCACTCTTCTCTTGCACTTTCATCAACAGACCCTTTAGTCTTCTTCACTTTCTGCCATAAGGGTAGTGTCATCTGCATATCTGAGGTTATTGATATTTCTCCCGGAAACCTTGATTCCAGCTTGAGCCTTAGGTAGCCCGGCATTTTGCATGATGCATTCTGCATATAAGTTAAATAAGCAGGATTACAATATACAGCCTTGATGTGTTCCTTTCCCAATTTTGAACCAGCTGGTTGTTCCATGTGCAGTTCTAACTGTTGCTTCTTGACCTGCACACAGGTTTCTCAGGAAGCAGGTAAGGCAGTCTGATATTCCCATCTCTTGAAGAATTTTCCAAAGTTTGTTGTGATCCACACAGTCAAAGACTCTAGTGTAGTCAATGGAGAAGTAGATGTTTTTCTGGAATTCTCTTGTTTTTTCTATGATCCAACAGATGTTGGCAATTTGATCTCTGGTTCCTCTGCCTTTTCTGAATCCAGCGTGAACACGTAGAAGTTCTTTGTTCATGTACTGTTGAAGTCTGGCTTGGAGAATTTTGAGCATTATTTTGCCAGCATGTGAGATGAGCGCAACTGTGTGGTAGTTTGAACATTCTTGGGCATTGCCTTTCTTCGGGACTGGAATGAAAAAACGGACCCTTTTCCAGTCCTCTGGCCACTGGTGTGTTTTCCAAATTGGCTGACGTATTGAGTGCAGCGTTTTAAGAACATCATCTTTTAGGATCTGAAATCGCTCAGCTGGAATTCCATCACCTCCACTAGCTTTGTTTGCAGTGCTGCTTCCGAAGGCCCACATGACTTCACACTCCAGGATGTCTGGCTCTAGTTGAGTGGTCACACCATCATGGTTACCTGGGTCATTAAGATATTTTTTGTATAGTTCTGTGTATTCTTGCCACCTCTTCTTATATCTTCTGCTTCTATTAGGTCCATACTGTTTCTGTCCTTTATTAGGCCCATCTTTGCATGAAATGTTGTTCTCTTAGTATCTCTAATTTTCTTGAACTGGTTTCTAGTCTTTCTCATTTTACTGTTTTCCTCTATTCCTTTGCACTGATTATTTAGGAAGGCTTTCTTATCTCTCCTTGCTATTCTTTGGAACTCTGCATTCAGATGGATGTATCTTTTTCTCCTTTGCTTTTCACTTCTCTTCTTTTCTCAGCTATTTGTAAGGCCTCCTCAGACAACCATTTTGCCTTTTGCATTTCTTTTTCTTGGGGATAGTTTTGATCACCACCCCCTGTACAATACTACAAACCTTCATCCATAGTTCTTCAGGTACTCTGTTAGATCTAATTCCTTGAATCTATTTGTCACATCCACTGTATAATCATAAATGATTTGATTAAGGTCCTACCTGAATGGCCTAGTGGTTTTCCCTACCTTCTTCAGTTTAAATCTGAATTTTGCAATGAGTTCACGATCTCAGCCACAGTCAGCTCCTGGTCTTGTTTTTGCTGACTGTATAGAGCTTCTCTATCTTTAGCTGCAAATAATATAATCAATCTGATTTCAGTATTGACCACCTGGTGAGGTCCATGTGTAAAGTCGTCTCTTGTACTGCTGGAAGAGGGTGTTTGCTATGACCAGGGTGTACTCTTGGCAAAACAAAGTCTTTGCCCTGCTTCATTTTGTACTTCAAGGCCAAACTTGCCTGTTACTCTAGGTATCTCTTGATATCCTACTTTTGCATTCTAGTACCCTATGATGAAAAGGACATCTTTTTTTGGTGTTAGTTCTAGAAGGTCCTGTAGGTCATCATAGAACTGTTCAACTTCAGCTTCTTTGGCATTAGTGGTTGGGGCACAGACTTGGATTACTGTGATATTGAATGGTTTGCCTTGGAAACGAACAGAGATCATTCTGTCATTTTTGAGACTGCATCCAGCTACTGCATTTTGGACTCTTCTGTTGACTATGAGGGCCCCTCCATTTCTAATAAGGGATTCTTGCCCACAGCAGTAGATATAATGGTCATATGAATTAAATTCTCCCATTATAGTCCATTTTAGTTCACTGATTCCTAAAATGTCTGTGTTCACTTTTGCCATCTCCTGTTTGACCATTTCCAACTTACCTTGGTTCATGGACCTAACATTCCAGGTTCCTATGCAAAACTGTTTTTTACAGCATCAGACTTTACTTCCATCACCAGTCACATCCACAACTGGGCACTGTTTCTGCTTTGCGTCTGCCTCTTCATTCCTTCTGGAGCTATTTCTCCACACTTCTCTAGTAGCATATTGGGCACCTACTGACCTAGGGAGTTCATCTTTCAGTGTCTTATCTTTTTACCTTTTCATACTGTTCATGGGGTT